AAGAAGGAATTTATTCCTCGTTTGTTGCAAAATTGGAAGCACTGCAGACTGGGTTTTTTCCTTCTTTTTGATCAACAGCAAAAACATATGCGAGGAAGACTGAACTTGATGGACGCAAGTCTCCTTTCAACTATTTAACTATGTAACTATTTATTAATTGTTTTTTTCAGTATATCATCTTCTAAAACAACGAGAGGGTATATCAATAGCAATATCATACCTCTAAAGCATCCCTGTTTGGAAGGGACAGTCCCTATTTTGGTCCCGAATCCTTTTTTAAGAGCTCCATTTATTTAGTGTGTCTGAATTTATAACAGCGCTCCACAGGAACAATACTCATATTTTTTTTCATTTAAACTACATAAATGTATTTAGAAATCAGTTGGTGTGTACAAGATACATTGTAATTGTTCTTAATTACATTTTAGTTATATATATTGTCATTAGTAAATCACCTAAAATTTCTCAGAACAGTCCTGCCCCTGGCCACACACCTCACTTTAAAATTGAAGTGTCCCTATTTGTCTATTTTAAATTATTGAGTATATTTACATCTGCTAATCACTAATACTAGATGTAAATACATTTTATTATAATTGACAGTAGAGAACAACGATTCCCTCTGCAGTTTGGATCAGACAAAAGTCAATACAAGACATATTGACAGCTGTTCTATTTTCCAGAACTCAATGTTACTTGACTAGGAATGTGGTTTTGGTGAGTTTGCCAAAGGTTCTGCTCATAAGCAAAGTCCTCATAAATATTGACTTGTATTATGAACTGTTCCAAATAAATATGAACTAATTAAAGAGAGCTTGGCAAAGCTGTCATCTGCTCAATGACTATACAACTAAGCCAAATTACCTTACATTACTTGTTAGTTCAGAGCAAAACTCCACCTACATATAATAGCAAAGCTTGAAGATTAGTTCTTGATCTTTCCATCAACTGACTTTCTTTTTACAGTTATTGTACTTAGGGCGAGTGTAATGGGTGTGCAATTTGTACGGTCGCATAGAGCTCTTATACAAATTGGGCTCCATCACACCATCTTGATGAATTATAAATAGAGTGGTGCTGATTGCAAGAGGAAGAACATAGCCCGGGTTGGCAATAGACAGGGGCGGACTGACCACTTGGGCTCATTGGTCATGGACCAAGGGCCCGAGACAGCCAGTCCCCCGGCCGCACAGCCATGCTCCAGCTGGAGAGATTAAAGTCTCCAACTGGAACGGCCAAATTAAATAAAACTCTTCCATTGATAGGTTGTGGGGCCCCTGAGGTAGTGCAGGGCCCCACCAATCTACTGTCCTGCACATTACCCCTCTCTTCTCTCCCACTGAGTGAGACCTGGCAGCATTACATGCTCTCTGTCTGCTAGGTCTTCTTCTTCCTGTCCCACGTGGTGCACTGTGTAATGGGAGAGGCGGGGCTAGAAAGTGACATCACTTCCTGCGCTCTCCTCTCACCTTTCATGGACAGCGAGGGGAAGGAGCAGCAGCCTACCACAGGGAGCAGGAGAAAGGTAGGATATAAAAAGGGGAAAATGGGGAGAGACAACAGGATGCAGGAGAGAGATAGGAAATAAAAAGGGGAAGATAGGAGAGACATAAGAAATAAAAAGATGAATATGGGGAGAGACATCAGGGAGCAGAGAGAGGTAGAAAGAGAAAAGGGGAAGATGGGGAGAGATATAGGAAATAAAAAGGGGACGATGGGGAGAGACATCAGGGTTCAGTGAGAGGTAGAAAGAGAAAAGGGGAAGATGGGGAGAGACAACATGGAGCAGTGAAAGGTAGATAGAGAAAAGGGGAAGATGGGGAGAGACAACATGGAGCAGTGAAAGGTAGAAAGAGAAAAGGGGAAGATGGGGGGAGACATCGGTGAGCAGGAGGGAGCTAGGAAATTATTATTATTATTATTATTATGTTATTATTTATATAGCACCAACAAATTCTGCAGCGCTTTACAGTGGGTGGATGAACAAACATGTAGTTGTAACCAGACAAGTTGGACACACAGGAACAGAGGGGTTGAGGGCCCTGCTCAATGAGCTTACATGCTAGAGGGAGTGGGGTAAAGTGACATAAAAGGTAAGGATAGTATTAGACTAATGACAGTTGCAAGAGAGGAATCAGTCGGGAGCTATTAACAGTTTAATTGATAAATTTTTTATGAAGAAGTGGGTTTGTAATGATTTTTTGAAGGAGTGGAGACTGGGTGAGCATCTAACGGATGAGGGAAGTGAGTTCCTCAGGAACGGTGCAGCCCTCGAGAAGTCTTGAAGGCGAGCATCAGAGGTGAGACTACGGACAGAAGATAGATGTAAGGCTTCAGCAGAGCGTAAGGGCCTAGACGGGACATACTTGTTTATTAGGGAGGATAGATATGTGGGAGCAGCATTATGTAGAGAATTGAAATCAAGTACCAGAATTTTAAATTGAGCCCTATATCTTACAGGAAGCCAATGTAGGGGCTGACAGAAGGATGAGGTGTGGGTGGTGCGGGCGGACAGGAAGATGAGCCTTGCCGCCGCCTTCATTATGGACTGCAACGGTGCAAGTTTGGGAGTACGTAAGACCACTGAGAAGTGTATTACAGTAGTCAAAGTGAGAAAGGACAGTGGAATGGACCAGCACGTTAGTCGCATCTGGCGTTAAGTAGGGTCGGACGCGCGCAATGTTTTTGAGATGGAAGCGGCAGGATTTGGCAACAGACTGAACATGAGGAGTGAAGGAGAGGTCAGAGTCAAAAAGAACACCTAGACAGCAAGACTGCGTGGTGGAGCTGATGGTAGCACCGTTGACTTGGAGGGAGACAGACACAGGAGTAGCAATACTTGAGGGAGCAAAGACCAGAATTTCAGTTTTGGTCAAGTTTAGTTTAAGGAAGTGGGCAGCCTTCCAGTTAGAAATAGCAGAGAGGCAGTCAGAGACACTAGTCAAGAGGGACGGGGAGAGATCAGGAGAGGAAAGATAGATTTGCGTGTCATCCCCATAGAAATTATATTGGAAGCCAAAGGAGCTAATGAGTTTACCAAGGGAGGCAGTATAGATGTAGAACAGTAGGGGACCAAGAACTGAACCTTGGGGGACACCAACAGAGAGGAGTAGAAATAGAGCCAGAGAAAGAAGCACTGAACGAGCGCTGGGAGTGGTAGGAGGAGCACCAGGAGAGAGCAATATCTTATGGACTGATACTGCTGAGGATGAGAAGAAGATGTTGATGATCAACAGTGTCAAAAGCCACAGAAAGGTTAAGGAGAATTAAGATAGAGTAGTGACCATAAGATTTTGCAGCGAGTAGATCATTGGATACTTTGGTCAGTGCCGTTTCTACAGAGTGCTTAGCGCCGAAACCAGACTGAAGCAGGTCTAGCAGAGAATTGGACTCGAGGGAGTCTGTCAATCTCGCATATAATTATATAGAGTCTTTCAAGGATCTTGGATGCAAAAGGCAGTAGCGAGATAGGACGGTAGTTGGACAGGGAGTTAGGGTCAAGGTTGGGCTTCTTTAGAATTGGGGTTACAGTTGCATGTTTGAAGGGCGATGGAAATATGCCAGAGGAGAGAGATAGATTGAGAATTTTAGTGAGAAGTAGGGAAAGAGAATAAGACAGAGTACGGATGAGATGCAAGGGAATTGGATCTAGGGAACAGGCGTTGGGACGCATATCAGAAAACTCTTCCGCTGTAGCGGGTGCGAATGAACATAGAACAGCAGAGGGAGTGAGGATAGGGGAAGTATTGTAAGGGGAAGAAGAAAGATGAGAAATCTCTTTCCTGATTGTAGAGCTCTTGTCAGTGAAGTGAGTTGCAAAGCCTAAGGCTGTCAAGTTAGTAGGTGGAGGAGGAACAATAGGGCTTGTGAAATGTGTGAAATAGTCGTTTGCGTTTGCGGGAGAGTGTGGTTATGAGGGTATTGAAGTAATTTACTTTTGCAGAGGAAAGAGCCAAGCTGTATGAGCACAGCATACATTTATAGTGGAGAAAGTCAGATGCACAGTGAGACTTTCTCCAACAGCATTCAGCAGTTCTGGAGCATTTTTGGAGATACCAAGTCAGCTTGGTGTGACAAGGTTGTTGTTTGGGGTGCTTGCTGCGTTTAAATGTAGGAGGTGCCATGATGTCTAGTTGAGAGGAGAGGGTGGAATTGTAGAAGGAGGTTGCAAAGCTAGGATAGGTGAGGTTTGAGATAGGTAAAAGGAGAGTTTGGAGATTAGTGGAGAAATGCTCTAGGTCAAGACATTGGAGGTTTCTGTGAGATTGATGTTCAGATGGTGGTGTCAATTGGGTCTTAGGCATGCCGATGTCAAAAGTCAGTAGATGGGTACCTCAGCTGGGTACCTCAGCCAAGGACTGCTTCCTAGCTGGATCAGGGGACAAACAGCAGCACTTCTGCCCATAGTCCCTGTGGCTTGACTGGAGCCCTGATACCGCTCCTTCCTGGAGCCAATTGGGGAATTAGCTCTAGTACTTACAAGGACTTTCCCCGTTGAATCCCCTGCAAGCTGGAACAGCAGACAGAGGAGTAAATCGTCTTTCCCTCCAATTACAGGACGACACACAGTTTTAGAGTGTAAGCTGGAATAGAATTTTAATGGAGACACACTGGCTTTTTATGCAAGTTTCCCAACAAGGGTGACACCAAGGTGGACCTTGTTGGGCACAGGGACACAAAGTGAATAAACCAATAAAAACAGAGTCATACAGTGAGACACTCCCATACAAAAACAATAGAATCCCTCCTCTGTGCTTGGGAGATAATTGAATCAGGAACTGTACTAATCTAACCCAATGATCAAGCACAGAAAAACATACAATGTTATGAAACCCCAAAAGTACCTTTAAAACACATGAAACCCCTGATAGCACCGATCTGGGTGAACAACATATCCAAAAATCACCCAGATAGGTTCAGGAGTTCAGGAATTTCCTGGACGTCATAGTTTTGATCAACCATGCACATGGTCCTATGCACAAGACAGTTCCAGGGAAATCAGTGCTAACAGTCGGTCAAGTTTGGTAGTCTTTTACAGGTTTCCCTGCAGGGCCCATAGTCTTTGAGCAGGAGGCTGGCAAGCAGGCTCCTCCAGGAGCTCGTGGCAAACTCACTTGGAGAGGAGAGTTTGTCACAGTGGTTAGATAGAGGAAAAGGAATATTAGAGAGATTAAACACAGAAACATAGAAACATAGAATGTGACGGCAGATCAGAACCATTCGGCCCATCTAGTCTGCCCAATTTTCTAAATACTTTCATTAGTCCCTGGCCTTATCTTATAGTTAGGATAGCCTTATGCCTATCCCATGCATGCTTAAACTCCTTTACTGTGTTAACCTCTACCACTTCAGCTGGAAGGCTATTCCATGCATCCACTACCCTCAGTAAAGTAATACTTCCTGATATTATTTTTAAACCTTTGCCCCTCTAATTTAAGACTATGTCCTCTTGTTGTGGTAGTTTTTCTTCTTTAAATATAGTCTCCTCCTTTACTGTGTTGATTCCCTTTATGTATTTAAATGTTTCTATCATATCCCCCCTGTCTCGTCTTTCCTCCAAGTTATACATGTTAAGATCCTTTAACCTTTCCTGGTAAGTTTTATCCCGCAATCCATGAACCAGTTTAGTAGCCTTTCTCTGAACTCTCTCTAAGGTATCAATATCCTTCTGAAGATACGGTCTCCAGTACTGTGTACAATACTCCAAGTGAGGTCTCACCAGTGTTCTGTACAATGGCATGAGCACTTCCCTCTTTCTACTGCTAATACCTCTCCCTATACAACCAAGCATTCTGCTAGCATCCTGCTGCTCTATTACATTTATAATAGGCAAATTGTCCAGAATTTTTAAATTTATAAATGGCATTCCTTGAAGTTGGAAGAAATTGTGGAGGCAAGTTGTAAAAACCTCCTCTCTCTCCCTTATATGAAAATTAAATGAATACATAATATAATTTTCAAATATAGATTTATAACATTATAATTATATAGAGTGGAGAAAGTATTCCTTCTAATATGGTTTCTGCAAAAACCACTCACATGGTCTATATTTCGTAATAAAAAGCAATGGGAAGAATGCAACATACATTTGGGTATTGCACCTCTGTTCACTTTATGAATATTTGTGCTCTTGAAAGAAAATTGTATATTTTTTATATATATATTTTTTTATATATAATTGTTTATATTTAATTTTCATATATAATTTTTATATACATTTTTTAATATATTTTTTGTATTTATTTTTATTTTTATCTATATGTATGCACTTTAACAATATAGGTAATGAGAACAATGATAATTTATTTTTATTTTTAATTCTTAAACTTGTTTGATGCAGATTGAAATATTTACTACCCATTCCTCTTGTTCCCTGTTTCCACTAAACTATAAATATATGCCTGGCTGAGATCGAGCAGTGAGTAACAATATAGAAACTCTCAACTAACTTCCGGGTTTCGGCAAAGGAACGCATGCTGGAACGCACGCGTCATCGGACGTCGGATGTGATGACGTCATAATATTGGGAAATCAGCCCGGATAACAGAGAAGAGACACCTGTAAAAGATTATTCATTATGTGGACACTGAGGGATATATAAGAACTGGGGAGGGAGGGAAATTTTATTGTTCATTGTTTATTTGTACCTGTTGATCACACACCATACAAGTCCCTGAGGAAGTCCTATTTGGTTGGATGAAACGCGTAGGACCCCTGGTGGTGACATAGACGGACTACACTGATGATTTTATATCTTGATGTAAGTTATTAAATACTTTTTTTGTACTTCACTTTGAATGTGCATCTTATATTTTTTTATATATACTTCTTTCCTGAGCACATATACGCTAATACATCTATGGAGATTTTAACTCAGACAGAGGATTTGGAATTCCTATTTTGAAAAGGAAAATATTCAAGGCTTGCAAACTTCAGCAAAAGTTTGAGTGGCCATTTCTGAACACAACTTTTACAATTTGCCGTTATACACAGTTATACGCTATGTTGTTTTATTCAGCAGATCATCCCCCTTTTTTTACTTATATTGTGTGGAAGACAAGAGGAAGTCTTTTGGGATACTATTGGAAATCTTATCCTATACAGGAAAGTTTCTTTCTGTTGATATAAATTAAGCACTTTTACACTGTGGTGGGTGTACACAGACATTGTTTCTTTTTGCTCTATTACATTGTCTGCCTACCTTTAAGTCATAAGATTAGAGGCGGTACAGAGATTGGTGAAGGTGAGATCAAATAAAAAGGGGAAGATGGGGGGAGACATCAAGGAGCAGAGAGAGGTAAAAGGAGAAATGGGGAGAGAAAAGTTGGTGAAAGCAATAGAAGAACAAAAGAGAGGCAAGGAGTGCCATGGAAAGAAGAGAACAATGTAAGGAGCAGACCGTGGAAGAGATGTAGGGGAGCAATCAGAGGGAGAAAATCATGGCTTTGTATAGACATGTGGGGTTATTGAAAAGGGGCACAAGATTACATTTTTGGGTTAGAAAATTGTCAGGGATAGGATAGAAATGTGGCTAAGGCACAAGTGAAGTGCTTTGTAAAAGGGAGTGTGATATGTAACATTTGTGATGGTCACAGTAGAGAGTCACAGGAGGGTGATGGGGAGGCAAAGTGTGGCAGACAATAGAGGAGATAATGTGGAAACAAGTATGTGGGTGATATAAAGACAAAAGTGGTGGAGCATGGTGAAAGGGGCACAAAATGAGGTGGGGGAATTAAAACAGATACACAAAAAACACTTGCACCATATAAATAAACCTCACATACACTTTGACACATGTTTTAATTACACTCCTCATTCACACAGACCCTGCGAAAAATTTCTAATACACCCACAGGCTTACATTCTACATACATACACCCCTGCTTCACACTCACATTGACACCTCTCACAATTGCACTTCTAAAGTCACACACACTCACTGCTCAGATGAACTCCACTCTATCCCTGCAAGCGGCAGGGATACCAGCTGAAAGTGTTGGTTCAGTGGAAGAACTGTCTGCTTTCACCTAGAGCTGGCTGAGGTCACAGTACACTGCCAGGTAGCTCCTCGCGATTCACAAAACGTATGCCCACCACGAGTATGAGGTCATCTGTACATGGAGGGAAGGGGACAAGCTGCAGACCGACTACAGGATTAAGGCTACTGGTAATGAGAAATATGTAATGTGGGTTCCTTACTTACAAAAATGTGCTATACCCTCATGCTGCCACACAACATTGTATTTTAGGAAGCATCTGCACATCTTATGCAACCTGCTTATCTCTGTAATCTAAAATGCTTGTAATTGCTGTTGTGGCATTATGAGATTTATTGCATCTTTCATATAGAGCAACAGAAAAAAAGTTGGATACGCAGGAACAGAGGGGTTGAGGGTCCTGCTCAGTGAGCTTACATGCTAGAAGGAGTGGGATAAAGTGACACAAAAGGTAAGGATAGTATTAGACTAATGACAGTTGCAAGAGTGGAATCAGTCGGGAGCTATTAACAGTTTAATTGATACGCTTTTATGAAGAAATGGGTTTTTAATGATTTTTTGATGGAGTGGAGACTCGATGAGCATCTAACGGAGGAGGGAAGTGAGTTCCACAGGAACGGTGCAGCCCTGGAGAAGTCATGGCACTTACACTGAACACAGATACAAACACTACTACACTGATATTGCACACCTATAAACGAATGAATTCACATGGCACAAAGAGAAACACTGTGGCATTACACTGACACTACACAGAGGATCACTATTACATCACATGGACACTACACAGAGAAGCACTATTACATCACTACTACCCCACACTAACACTTAATAATGTGAAACACTACTACATCCCACCACACTGTATACATAGAAGCATTGCAATTCCACAATACCAGCTGGTTAGAGTAGTGGAAATGTCACTGCACTAGACCTTGAGAACTAGTTTGAATCCTGATCAGACCAGTTAGTGTCCTTGGAAAAAACACATAACAAAATAGACTATCTACTTCAAAATCTTCATAGATTGTAAATTCTTTTGACCGATGTGCATGGTCATTGTGGTGTAAAAGTGTTTGTCTGTGTGGTGTAGGTGTCATTATTATTACTTGCATTTTATAAAAAAGCCAAGATATTCTTCAGCACTTTACAACCATGAAAAGGAGATACTTCATGGTTCAAGAAGTATCTTCTTTTCACAATTTTAAAGTGCAGTTCTCCTCTTGCTCAGCGCCCTGTCGTGGTTTCATGCCTACGGTTATCCGAGAGTGATTTTCTGGTATTTGACTTTGGCTTTGTTTTGACTTCCCTGATATCTGGCATCCTTGACTTTTGGCTTTCCCTCATCTTTGTGTCTGATTCTCTGTCCCTGACCTTGGCAAGTATTTTGACTATTCTTGTAGACGTTAAGTCCAGCCATTCTAAGGTCCGGTCATACGTTATCCTTAGTCCTAGGTGTGACACAGTACTGTATGCTGGATCAACTTGTAATCCTGACATTATCTTGCTTGGATGTTATCATAGAACCTCTGATAATGTTTTATATTATCAGCATGTGAGTCATGTTTTGATCTTTTTTTTTATATGCATTGTGAGATATCAATCTTTTTTGTACCTATCTAATAATAAAAAAAAAAATCACATTAATGGTTGTGCTCCTTGATTGGATATTATCATTAACAGTAAAACTAACAAGATTATTCACTAGACTTTAAACTAAGCAAATTAAATCCAAATTGCAAAATCGAGGCTAGGATGGCTTTTTGTAAAAACACTCATAGCACAGCTTATTAATTTTAACTTAAGTTTTGCGGTTTGGATTTTAGTTTAATATTGTTGGATAATGGTTTCAAATTATTTAATATTTGTAATACACGTTTAAAATGATTTTGAAAAATATTATTATACATTAAACAAAATCATATAAAATAATTTATATTATTATAAATCATTTAAAAATCATATCCAAAACCATAATATTGAGGCTCTATTTCAACAAATACAACTATTAACATTAAATTACTGAGGCTTTAATTCACACAAAAAAAAGAGTTCAGTAAATAAGCTCTGTCAGATAATTTTATGTGTGTGTGATTTACAACTGTAACTTTAATTTAATAATTTAACAGTATATTATGATAATCAATACGTATGTGTAGGTATATCACAAGAGTCTGATGGCTTAAGACCAACCTTGTTTGTACTACCTTTTAAAACAAGTTTTAAAACTATTTTTAAATCTGTTTGAGAGATTCTAAGCATTTTTGAAAGATTTAAACATACTTAGATTATATATAGAACATTTGAATTTACCTTGCTTCTTTTTTCTGTTTTATCTATCTTTGCAAAACTTTATTTTTAGCATTTTACTTGACTGATGTAACAATTTGGATCTCAGAGTCTC